TCAAGGATTTTTTTTATTTTAATAAATAAAATAAAATAAATAAATCTTAAAATAATTTTGGAAACCTAAGCAAATGATACGTGGACACACAATATTGAATGCAATATGACATGATTTCCAGGCTCGCAAGTTTAGAGCTTAAGAAATCAAAGCTGCGACAGCACAGAGCACCATGGCACAGTGACGTTAGACTAGATGAACATTAAATATCAAGTCACTACGGTTCCCCTGCTTCCTCTCAGGTATTCGCTAGAGAGAGGGAAGGCACCAGCCAACATTTTCATTAAAAGTATTTCACTGCTGTGATGTCAGCGCTGTTGAGAACTTCAGTGGGTGGATACTGGCTATGCACATAGAAACAGGACAGTTGCAGTACGCTGACAAAAAGCCCCCCACTATTTGCTTAGAAAACTAAAAGAGTAGGGACAAGCAACAGAACGAGGGTTTTGAAGTTGCTTCTCTGAAGAAGAGCTACGCTTAATACTCTACACAGCTACACAAATCCCTCTGCTGCTTAGGTAGGTATTTCTGATTAAGTTAAGTCGTTCTGTTAAAACTTTCCCATTTAACAGACACACTTCAAAACATAAACCATAGAAGAAAAACGCCACAAAATCTGCACTGGAAATGCAGACATACAGACACCTCTGTCATGCAGCCCGCTTGTGCTGGCCTAACCATGTAGTCTCCAGCAGGACACATCTCCCACCAATTCTATTCAATCACTCCATCTCCTTGAATCCCAGAAATCATCCTTACTCTTTATGTTCCAGACGAATAATATCTCCATGCCTCACAAACTCCACAGGGCTCGAGGGGTCTGACAGATCTGCAAGGAAGGTAAACTAATCATACCAATGCTCTGACAAACGTATCAGCGTCTTAGAAAGTTTCTTGGCAATGTGCATGCCTCAAGCAGATAATACGAGGCAAACTAATTTGTGTCGACTCTCAGGCTGGTGTAAACCACTGATCTAGTTCAAGGATCAGACCTGAGGGCTACTCCCAAGGACATGGCCCCAAGCAGCACATACTGTCCTTAAATAAAGAGGATGCCTGGTCAGGCTAACCAGACACCAAAACTTTTTTTTTTTTTTTAAATTTCAGGAACTATAAAATTACTCTTCCAACACTGATTATAATTTTGTTATACCTAGATTATTTGCATTTTTTGTTGTTTAGGCAGTTCTTGTTAATTCTTATATATGCATGCTGCAGGGGAAGAAAGGAAACTCTGCCAGACCAAACATGTCTCAGCTACCCTATATGATATTCTAAAACAACAGATGTATGTATAAACCATGGATCTTCATGTTCAGTACTCTATCTTGTCCCAAGGAAACATCCATGCAAATCAGTTGAACACAATGTGTAAGAATGTACCAGGACCCAACTTCTCCTGCACCCACAGTCACAATAACAGATTCCACAAAAGACTGAGTTCAGATTAATTTCCTCTCTGTTATTTGCAACCGTACTTAGATGAAAAGTTGTCAATGCAACCTTCAGCTGAGAAAAATTTATTTACTTCAGCTGTACCATCTGGAGAAGAACTAAAAACACAGTAGACACAAACAGCATTAATCAAGATGGTGCCAGATTCCCCTTGTTCTTCCTCCTCTCATCCTCATATCCATGAAGGATGCTTTGCCCTGGAGGGGACTCAGCATATTTAAGTGAAAACTGAAGCAGCAATTATAAAAGACACTTCACTGGTATTTGTTACCTGTATCAGAATCATGCTTCTTTATAATCCACAGGTTATTCAAATCTTTATGTAAGTAGGCAGTGACCTGAAAACACAGGATAAATTACTTTATCAAACAAGAAAAAAGATGCTGATAGCAGACACCAACAACATGGAAGCCCTGGGATGACTGTTACAGTAATGCCCCCTAGAAAGTCAGTTACTGGCCCCTCCTTAACCCAGCTCATACCTTTTATTCAATGTATAGCCCATACGCTCAGGAGCACTACACCTAACGGCAGTTCACATGCATCATGAGTAACAGCCTCCAACCATACCGCCTGACCTCCTCTCACCCTACTTCAGAGGCTCCTTCTACAACAACAGGATATCCACACCTGAACTTTTTGAATCGTCACTGACCTGTACCAGAACCAGGAGATGGAAACAGCACCAGCTTTAGACAAGCATCACTGGTAGAAATTTATGACAACAAGGCTGCCTGTGACAACCGTAATACTTCTGCCGCAAGATCCAGACAAGGTAAGGAGGATTCAGGGATCAACTGTTAAAGCCTCACGAGCTACCCAGCTAATCCTTACGGGCCTGTTCAGACTCACACAGAATAACTGCTCCTGCCATGGGCAGGGGAAACCATTTGTCCCCAGGGTGCTGCTCCTGAGGGCAACCTTCCCGAGCAACACGAGGAACTGGGCCCACTTTGCTCACTCCCCTCTTCCAGCAGCAGCAAGCCCTGCTCTGTGGGACCCTAGACCAGTCCCAGACCTGAGCCTCCCACCCAGGTGGGAGCAGATGGCTCAGTGGGTGGGTGTGAAGCAGAGCATACAGGAGTGTCTGAGGGTGGGGAAAAAGGGTGAGCTGGAGGTGGAACCTCACACCTTGATGTTATATCATCAGGAGAGGAGGGAAGGGAGGTGGCAGAGAGATCACTGCCTCCATCTTTTCCTCCCTAAATCTCCTCCAAGTTCTAAATTCCCTTCCCCTCTACACAGCCCCCACTAGTGGTCCCAGACACCTACCCTTGTCCTACCTCCAGGGTAGGAAGCACAGGGCAGGGGCAATCTCTACCCTTTCCCACTTACCCTCAAGGAAACTCCCATCAGCATTCTCTCCAAATCCCCTTTCCCTGCTTCTAGTGTCATAAAATACGCTCTGCACTTGAATTTTGCCTATCCTTGAGTCAGTTTTGGTACGACATCTTTATCTAAGTAATAAACAGTAATAAACAGTAATAAACATCAATGTCACATGAGAATATTAGAATTTTTGGTTGGGAAGAACAGCAGGAAAAGAAAATTGAGACAAAGTTTTCATTTCTGAAAACTTCTTCCTCACCACAGAGACTGAATGGAGTTAAAAAACACTTGTTTTTCTCTGGCAACTTTCTTCCAAGGAGCTCAGAGCAATTTTTAGATGCTAAAATGCAAACTGCAAAATACATCTTGGGAAAGCTGCAGAAGCTGCAAAAATTTGTGAAGCTTGATGATGATGGACAAAAATAAGAAGTTCACTTAATTTTTGTACTACTTAATTAGCAATAGTTACATGATTTCAAATTTTTACTTTGATTTATTGCTCAATCATTTAATCAGAAACCCTTAGAGAGTTCAGGTAGTTTAATTATGACTAGCTTACAAATGTAGAGATATCTAATTTAATAAGCAAAGCCTTACAAATTCTTTGGTGACAGATGAGGAAAACGAGGCACAAAAGGAGACTAATTCTGTAAGGTCACAGAGGCCAGTGGCAGTAGTGAAGACAATACACACAGAGCAGCCCTATTCTGTTGCTTTTAAAACACAGAAATGAAACCTATAAGATAATGTATTTGTTTTAAACGTAAGTTTTACAGCCTTCCTTGAGGTAACAACAGCACTTTCATTATGGAAGACTATTTTTAAAGTCCTTTCGGCCTCTATCTGTGGAGGGTGGTCTTGCTACTACAATGAAGCCTTGTTACTGTAAGCCACCTCTCTGGTGCAATGTAGTAGGCTCTCTTCAAGGATCCTTTTCACTCAGACTTCCAAGCCAAGTGTGCAGCTATGGCACTGAGAGGATAACAGATGCTGAGTAAATTCATAGCTCCTGTCACAACAGCACCTAACGCTAAGTGCGATGGGAGCGAGTCGATGGTTGTAGTCAGAGGCAGTACTACTGCAGTACACTAACCTGCTGCTGGCGAGCCCCAATGCCCTCCGGGTAGAGGTGCCAGTGGGAGTGAAGGTATCCCCCTGCCATCCGAAGATTCTTCATTGTGACCACAGACCCGTACGCCAAGTCTACATGGTAAGAAAGGAGGAAAAAAGGCATAAGGCAGCTTTCCTATAAATATCTCCCCCAGCTAGGCTGCAGTGCTCCGATTAGGCGTTCTCCTGCTTTGCTTTGATGCAAGCTCATGTCCTGCTTGACATGTTACTCCACACAGCTCACTGCAAGCTTATCTTCCATCCCCAACCACAATTCAGTAAAACTGTTACATAACATTTGGCTGAAACACTTAAAATACTCCCACCTATGTTTAACATAAACACAAGTGCTGGTTCTTTTGTATGTAGTTTCAATAATGACAGGTTTGAGATAGCTTTCTATAAGAGTATATGGTCAAATTAAAACACGATCAAGTTTGAAAACCATGTGACTACTTTGAAGCACTCCACCACCCAACCCCTACAGCAATACAAGAGGAAAGGGAGGCAAGCTCAGCTATCAGGTAGTGGAGCCAATAGCCTGGCTGCAGACACCTTCTTTCATAACCTCCCAAGACAAGTGGGGGAACACAGTCTTGGAGAATGGACCTGATACTCTCCCACTTGCAGCTCTGGAGCAGGGAACAGAGAAAAGCTGAAGTAATCAGAAAGCTAAACCGTATCAAAGGCTCAGTAGTCCCTAGCCAACCTGAGTACTAGGGAACAACCGCAGTGCCATCTTTCCCCTAAATTCATACACACGCTTGAATACAACACAGCTGAACCAGGGGCATGCTGTGTCACAAAGGAGTCGATATGGAAACAAATCCCACATCTGAACACCTACAAACCTAAGATGAACAGGACAAATCTCTTTTTCTTGTTTCAAGCAACATAAAGGCCAAAAAACACAGAGATGCATGCACACAAAACTATCAAATCCTTAAAAATGGCATCTTTCCCTCTAGAAGGAATATGATGAAACAGCTAATGACCTTGCACTAAACATGGTGCTATTTTTCAGCTTTTTTCTTTTCTGTGAAGAATAAAACTGCACAGAGGAACAGCATGGATTTGACCATGACCATGAAGGCGTAATCTGCACTGTCCTGCCCTGACTCACAGGAGATACCCATGTACGTTGACAACAAAGTGGTTTATTCCTTTGGACACTCACGCTCTGGAACAGAGACATTATGAAGATTGTTCCCAATCAGCTGGGACTGAAATGCTGAACTGAAGAAACCATCCCCAGGACCACTACAAAAGAGAGCAAAGAACGTGAGAATTCGAAGTCTGGCAAAACAGGCATACAAAGCTCTATCATGCATTACCAAACTGTTTTTACAGAAGGAAAAAGATAAAACCAGACATAGCATCAGGAGAATAATGACTGCAGTCCCCTTAGAAGCACAGACCTCTAATGTTGTGAATCATAGCAGGTACAGTCTTGCAGGAAATTGTCCAGAGCTGCAAGGACTTGAGGTGACAAAAATGTACTCACTGACACTGCACAAAGCACCATCAACTATTTTTGGAGGTGTTCTTATGACAAATAAACTGACCCACTGTCAGGTTAGATATAACAAAGACTCCCTCTGTGGCTCCTTAAGTCTCATTTCTGCTAAGAGGGTAGTAGTAAAACCAGTTGACTTAAATTGAAAAACAACAGCTTTAATTCTTTTTTTTTTTAATGGTGAAATGCTTATTCACCTCATCTCTTAATGTTGGCATATGGAAAAACATTACTTGGCCATTTTAGTAGCTGTTGCGCTCTTTCCACATAAAAAGCATCCCTTAGTTGCAAGCATTCAGAGAAGTCTTCCCTTTGGGCACGCTCAGGATTCTTTTTGTTTGTTTGTTTGTTTAATCACAGCCAAAACATTTTTCAGGAATGCGATGCCTTTTCTTTTTTTTTAATTACAAAAACAAAAATAAAAAGAATGGCATTGAGACATTTTCAGGTCCAGGAAAGAGAGGAGGAAGAAAAAGGAGAGAGAGAGTTCAGTTAGGATACTTGTTTGGCATTTCAGAAAGTCTTAAGCTCAAACTCAATTTCACTGCCAGCTTGACCAGAGCCTTTCTCTAAAAACAATTCAGGAGTCTGGGAAGGGAGTTAAACAAAGACACAGCTTGTGGCTATGCTTCTGACACTGAAAATGGAGAAATCCATAATTAACAGCCTTTAATTCAAAGCAAAGTGATTCTTCTTCTGGAGAAAACATTATTAAATACCTTTTATTTAATACTGTAAAATGAACAGCAAACATAGCCGTGTAGAGGGCAAGTGGGAGCAGGATGAGGCAGAGCACACGAGCCAGTAAATGCTTCCCAAACATGACCTGTAACAAACACAACCTGGATCAAACAGTGCAGCTGCAGGAACAACTCCACACTATCTCACAGGTCTCTGAGCAATGGTCCTGTGGCAGAAGCCTACCATGCAAGCAAGCCCAGCGGGGTGCAAAATTACCTCAAAAAGGCCTAAGGAGCAGTAAAAGCTTAGGCGGACCTTGTGCATCTCCAAAAGCTGGAGCTGGGTACCTTGAAATTTCAGGGTCTTGGCAGGAAGACAAAAACAGGCAATAGAAGGGTTTAATTTTCAAAAATGTTAGGCATGCCTAACTTTGGCAAAGGAGGTTGGGCAGCTCCCATTGACAATACTTCAAAAATAAGAACCTCAACTTGTTTATCACATCTTGATACAAAATCACAACAAGGAGATAGCTTCCAGAATAGCAACTGTCCAAGCTAAGCAAAAGAAAATGAAAACATGAGGGCACAACCTACTAGATACAATTCTCCTAACAAGTATCCCTATGTAAATATGACTGCAACGAGGACTTCTTGGGGACCTAGATATGCTGCATTCACAGAAACCAGCTCACTTAGCAAGGATGCTCTTGCACTGCAACTTCTGTTGCTGGTCCTCAGCCAGAAGTGCAGAAGAGTCAGCAGCAAAATTTGCGAGTGTCTCTACCTGCCTCAACACAAAAGCAGAGCATTTTACTTAAATCCCTTGGAAAAGTGGTTTGCGCACAAATGCCCAAGATGCAACTGCATAATCACATCCTACTGACATTGCTGGTAGTAGAGTAAGCAATCTAAATAACAGGGTGGGCAATAGCAGCTGTGAGAAAAGAAAACACCTTAAATATTGCACATCTAACTTCAAAGCGGACAAAGGCAGATGTACTTGCTATCTTCCATATTTATTTTACATGTTACCTATCATACAATCATTAAGCTAATCACCCTCCATCGCTTAATAACAGATCCAAAGATTTCAGAAATAATGGAAAAAGAGCTGAACACATTACAAAACTAAGAACTTCCTGAAGTCGACAAAGGAAACAGTTGCCTAGCTCAAGTACTTGAGCGTAACACTTAAAAACCACTGGGCACTTGGAAAAATACTGATTGATGGTATATAACCAAATCTATTCAGCAGAGAGGCATACGAACTCATCTCCAGGTCCCTGCTCAAAATGACCACAATACGCTTCAATCTTTGTGAAAAGGTTTTCTTTATCTACAGACTTCAATGAAAAGTCAAAAAAGAAAATGTACATGAAGGACAGCATCAAGCAAACCAGAATATTGGACCAATATGAGCTGAGAATTCTAGAAATGAAATTAGTCCCAAAAACCTTGCATGTAAGTCATGAGTAGTTTCCTAACAAAAGCAGAAATAAGTTATTCAGGCTTTCATGGGTTTAATCCTCACTTCCCCTCCATCCCCCCTCCTCAAGCACCAAGGTTGCCAAATAGTTAGTTATTCAGAGAGCATCTACCTTCTGGACTAAGTTTCTTTACATATTCTAACACTCAGGGGCTTGCTGCCTTTGCTGCCAGCAGCACAAATTAAATCACTGTGCAGCCATCTGCTGGCAGAAACCTTAGACATGATGGATTTGTTCCATTTCAAATGCAATTAACTGACTTTGTGCAAGAAGTACTTCTCCAGAGCTTGAACATTGCATCTTTGCAGCCTGTATTGATTCACATTAATCTAATAGAAAAAGTCCCCCAAAATCCTCACTGTTTATGAGAGAAACAGGAGAAAAACAGTAAGTGAAAGGTACAGAATTTTGGAGCTTCAGAAGAGGCCGAGACAAGAGGAGAACTGAACACCTTTTAAAAGATGTGCTTGAAGAATTTGTTTTCCTGCTGGTTGCAAGACAGCAAATGGTACATGAAGGTATTTCTCCAAGTGTTAATCCCCAAATATAAAAATGCAATATATTACAACAGGGCACCCAAACACACTAGCAAATTTCCTGGAGCTTATAAGAACTAAACGTGTGTGAAATCAAGCAGGCTATGGTTGCCTTCATCCTCAGGTCTGGCTACAGAGACTGCAAGTTGCAGAGCATGCCTATGTGTCATGATGGACCATAGCATGCTACTTCTATGTGGCCTGTGCCCCCATACTCTCATAAGGCAGAGCCTGAGCTTGCACTGCTTATGCAAACTCAGTGCTGCAAGACATGCCTGTCTGCCAGGTAGCATGTACTCCTCAGAAGGTCATGTAACAGTGTTGGACAACATCTTGCTTTGGGCCATTGTACAGCCATTTCTAAAGAGCATTTTTAACCTAGACTGAAATAAAATTCATCCAACTGGAAAGGTAATGATTTCTCTCAAGAAAAAAAAAACCAAACTTTTTGCTGTGCTTTTTTGACATTGTATCCCACCGACCTATGTGTTTTTTTTTTTAAACATATGGCAATAGTTTTGCCATTATAACCTTCATCTTTAATCATCATCATCCACCTCAGATGTCCCCTTTTGCTGGAGACAGAGTGTCACTGTTCAGATAGTTCCATAGTTGTCAATAACTAGAAGAATTACAAAGGCAAAAGAAACCCTTAATGTAAAGAAAAGTTTTTAACACTCACCAGCGACAGACTAAGGTTCCCCAGCAAGTCCCATAGGTCATAGATTGTGTTCAGGCCAACCAAGAGGACTACAAAAAGGCCAACAAACTTTACCCCCATTGCTCCAGCAAGGTTCACGCCAGTCAGACTCAGCCAGAACCACCAGGAGGCAGAAAATGGCCTGCAGGACAGAGAGAGCAGGTCAATAAATAAATGATGGCTACTTGAATGAGCATTTGTGATCAGGAAAACAAACAGCAAATTGGCTACCCCACAAAATTACATTCCATCTTCTTCTCAGGAGCCCATGAGGAATAGAAAGACAATTTTTTCACTAATTTTAGATTGATGCAAGGATAGTCCTTATACAGGCTTCAGAAGGGCCCAACACGTAAGCCTGGGCAGCCCTAGATTCTCCCTTTAAGAAGAGGAACACAGGTATAAGCTAAAACACTAGTGTGAAGAAGTCTGATACATGGAATATCTGAAAATAGAAACAGGACTTTTGCTCCATAAAATGCAAACTTACATCTCTCAGAAAGCTAGGGACATGGGGGAGAACAGGAGAAAAAGAACAGCTACTTTTCCTAAAGCAGAAAGACCATAGTGGAAAACATCTACCTAATGCACAAACAAAAGCTGCAGCAAAAAGCAAACAAATTACAAATTAAATTAAAACTGAACCACAGAGAAGAGGCGAGAAAAAATGACAGCAGAATTTAAAACCCGTTTCCTATTGACTCCTGATGCCTTGACACTTGTATTTTGTCTAGACAAAATCCCCATGACCTGCTAAGCGATACAATAGCTACAGCTGGCTTTTAATTTGCATAAAATCAAGTAGTCTGAAAACAGGACTGGCTCTAAGACATGACAAATAAGTTCATGTCAAAGCACTGTAACTTAGTGCTTGCACTCCCTGGGGTGTGTGTTGTAGATGAGAATGGCCTTGCATGGCCCCACATGACGCTGCAGGCTGCATTTGAGCATGACGCTGCAGTCACACCAAGATCGATGTGATCAGTGCTAGCACATTTCATGAAACAAAAATTGCTCATATATAACACAGTATTCTAAGCTTTTATGTCTTTGAATTCTGGATGCATTGTGCAGAAACTACTCTGTATAGGCCAGCCACAAAGAAGCCTTTTGACATCTCCAAATACCTATAAATCACCATCCCTCTCTGAATGGGCTTACAGCAAATATCCTGAGCAACTTAGCTGCTTTATTCAGAAACATCCTGGCTATATTTCTCTCAAATTTTTGGTACCAATTTCTCTAAACCTAACAAATTACACTATTTACCTCAGCTAGCAGGATTTTCTAAGTACTTATAGGATTAGAGTCACAGCCAGCCTGAAGACAAAGTGAATTGGTTCAAGATAACAAATTAATATTTTTGCCATTAAGGAGCAAAGCCTTGAACAGGCTCCAACCACCCTTCATTCCTCCTTCTTTGACCTACAATGCCCTACACTAGCTTTCTTTCCTGCCAAGTTTTAAAAAGTTTTAACCTTTGTTTTCAAGATTTGCAGTTCCATAAACACTATTTCTGCTGAAATTTCCTTTCATTCTAAAATAATCTACTTAAGTATCTCCTGGTTTACCCCAGCCACAATACTTCCTCCCTAGTTTCACAAACCCTCATACTAAAAATTTCTCTGCCCTACCATGAGCCATTGTCACCTCCAAATTTCCTGAAACAATCTAATCTCTGCCATTCAGCCAGACTACCAAGTGCCAGGCATGTTCTAGTACTTTATCTGTGTGAAAGTCAAGTACCTATAGTTTAACAGAATTATCATCTTTATCTTACCTATCCGCACAGCTGTTACATTTCACCATACTCAGAACAGCTCCCATGAGGAAGAACATCAGAATGGGGTCCAGCAGAATATATTGGGACAAAGTAATACAGCCCGTATCTGCAAACAGATGTGCAACAATGTCAAAAAGGCTTGCGGTTCCAAAGTGAACCTGAGATTGCAGGAAGCCAGTTTCCTCAGTGTAGTCAAGACAAGGGGAACAAGGGAAATTTTAGAAACAGCAGCAGATCAGAACATTTCAACTTCTCATTGGGTAACAAATGAAAAAAAAACAACCTCACAAAAACCAGGCAGTACAAAAGTATCTGTGAAACACCATTTGGGAGGTGCTGCTAACATATTCAGATGGAGAGCATTATAGACAGCAGTGATCTACCTACCAAGGCACCAGCATGGATGCTACAGGAGAAGTCATCTTTCAGGTGTTACCTATGAAAAATGAATATGACTTGGATATTTTAAGTCTCCAAGCCTCAATATCTGTGTGTTGTTACAAAACCCCAATTTGGGTAACTCCATTTGCAATGTTAATTTCTCCACTTGGCTCAATTCAACAAGGAACTTATTAATTTCTTACTGTGAATTCTTCCACAGTAATGCAGTAGGCTGTTAATACCTCTATAATTCATATGGGAGACACCACTATTTCACTACTGGGCAAAATCATTCTTGACCATTCATCTTATAAAAATTCTTAAAATTGAGATGAAATGTAGTCCAACGTTGTGGTTATGCACGTAACGGAAGTGCCTATGAACTAAACAAGACTGTAAAATTCTCAAGAAGGCCACCAATTAAAAAGCCTCACATATATAAAGCAGAATTACTTTGCTTTTGGGAACTTCTCTCATTAACCCAAATATCTCCTGGGTAGGTAACACATGATAATCCAGAGATTAAATTCTCTGAACAATTAACCTGCTCAATTTTGCTGTAGCAGGAGCACCTACCAAAAATAAGGATGAAAGCTGTGAGTAAGGCTGCTGGCAGTGATTTTGACAGTTCCAACACTGTGAGGTAGGCGAAGGGAACCAGGCAGGAGCCAAGGAATGCACAGAACTGCAGAAAAAGAAGATCATGGGGGAAGTTATAACCCTCCCCAAGGTGAACATGCACCCACACCCTTTCCCTTCCTTCGTCTTCCACACCTACCAACAACAGGAGGTGTTGCAGTAGCTGAACTGACTCACTAAGAACACCAGACAAAAGCCAAATGAACAAAGATATTGTTCAGAAGAGGGACAGCTTCTTACCCTGTTCTATCTCTACAAGTGTCAGTAACAAAAGTCGGTCATTCTCTTGCTAGACTACATCAGAAGTTTATAAAAAGATATGTCAAGTAGGTGCACTACACATCCACCATACTCAACTTATTTTAGCAAAATACTAGATTATAAAATCTAAGAACAAAATACACCTGTACCTTACATCTTTAGCAGACCAGTATCATCTCCCCTACCCAAATGAGACTGAGGATAGTTGGAGGAAGAACAGAAATAAAAAAAAAAAGAAAGCAGCATTACAGTAAAATATGTTCTCTTCAATGCCTGGTTCTACCACTTCTCCCATCTCTGGCTCAGGGAAATCAAGAACCATGAATTGCTGGAGATCAGGAAAGTAAACAAAGAAAACATGCCTTCCCAGTTTTTATCCTTCTTTCTAGGCTTTAGCAATTGGTCATTCTTTCTTTTTTTGGCTCGTGTAATCTGCTGTCAGTTTTACGGCTCTTGGTCTTCCTAGATAGCAGTACAACCAGGGTTTCAGATAGAATAGTACTCTGAATAGTAATTTCCGCCCCCCAGCCTGCTCCATCAGCTTACTCATCTCAGTGTCACTGGTGGTGACAAACTGCAGGTGGCAGTAGATGATCCTGGCTTTTTGACGTCGTTGGCTCTCCAGCAGAGCAGCCAGGCACAACGGAGTGAGCAGAAGCCCAAGCTCAGCAACGTTCCCTTTGCAGAAGAGGCAAGATACGTGTCCCACTCAGGAGTGTAGTCCCACTAATTAGCAGCAAGGCTTAGTCTCAATCACCTTACTTTCTTACCTCGCCTCTCACAGCGAGACAGTAAAACTTATTCACAGTACAAGCACTAACACTTTTCTAAGGAGCTTAAAGGCAAGGCACAAGGCTAAAAGAGACCTCTGATCTGATCTAGAAGAGCTGTTCTTATGGCATAACTGTACTTAAATGCACAGGAGAGCTAACCAGCTTGATACTAGCCTATAGAGCCTTACCCCTCTCATCCCCAAGTAGTTGTGCTGCTCATATCTGTCCCCTGGTTTTTGGAAAGGAAATGTACCATCATATCCACTAAGGTAGCCAGCAAGTCCAATCAGCATCTGAAGAGGAAAGATGAAAAAGCTAGTCAGGGAAATGGCATTGGAGGAAGCAGTATCAAAGCCAGCAGCAGGTAAGATTTTTATAGAAGCCAAGTCTGACCCAGAGGATAACTACTTAATTCAGACACATCATCCAAACAAGAATTTATGTGCAGAAGTCATATGCATACATATTGCCCTTTTTCTAAAGGAATAATCAGAAGGGATCAAAAGGACTTTGGCTGCTGACTATAAGAACAACTGCAAGCTCAAGAGAAATACCAGGTGTGGATTTTAGCAGACAGAATTCTGTCTCTCTACATTTTCCCATAGCTCCCTACTTCTATAGCTTAAGGAGACCTAAAGGAAGATAATCCTTCTGAATTAAGTTCTATTCTAATCGTCTCTGTGGCAGGAGTGCACCATCACCAACACTGCACACTGCTGCTAGAACAAGTTCTTTGATTGCAGAATAGCAAGTCAAGGCTTTCAGGGTCCTTTGTGGCAGGAGTCTCATTTACACACAAGCTATCAAGAACTGTTTGGTTCCTTTGAACTGTAGGCTTCTTTTAAATATGCCCTCCAAACCATGTAAGTGCCACGTTCATTTTTTAACGTCAAGTCTGTCAAACACCCAACATGCAATACTGTTTTGTTTTCCCATATTCAAAACATTTTCATAAAGAAGAAAAGATGCAAGTTGAGGCTCTGGACAGAGAATGCAAATTACCATGATGCCAACAACAGTTAGGAAAGGTATTGGTTTTCATCACATCCTTCAGCCAAAAGGACGGGGAAGACTTTTGCTGGCCCACTCCTGTGGCTTTTAAAACATGTAACAGAAGAGCAGTTTACCTTCCCCAAAGGGGGGTGGACATCAAAGAAGAAAGTCCGATTAATGTAATAACTTCCCATCTTCCCAAAATGAGTTTCATCCCAACTGGAAGAAAAAAAAAAAAAAAACAACACACCAAATAACCTGCTATAATGCTGAAGACAGTAAAAAAATCCAGGAAGGTCTTTCTACTCATGCGTTTCATCACACAGAGGGTTAGTGCCATACACTATGTATGAGACAATGTATTAAATTCACTAGGACATCATGGAGAGTAATTCAGCCATTCTACGCAGGGTCTTTTTTAAAGGGTTTGATATCAGCACTCCAAAACCTCTACTCTGCCCTTCTGATTCCTGGTTGAGCTTAAGATGTCAAAAAAAAATTCAGCCTGCAACCCACGGATCCCCCAAACCACTCCTCTCCAACGGGCCGGGCGCGGGGAGGGAAGACGGCTGTTCCCGGGGCGCCTCCCGGGAGAAGGCGGACACCCATCCACCAACCAGGGGCTCGGGCCAG